TTGTCATCTTGTGCTTTTTGTCCTTTTAAGTGTTCTTTTGCATAATATGATTTTTGATCTAACTACTAATTATCAAAAGTAGCTTTTTCTTTTTTTGTACTTAAACTTGGCCATTAGAGCTGGTTCTAAACCTGACCTAGAGATGGATTTAGATTAAAATGTTTTTAAAGAAATGCCTGATCAAAATCTACAACTTAATTCAATTGAAAATTCTGTAGACAGATGTTGATATTTACAAATGCTCTCTATCAAGTTTGACTGAGCATGAATCATGCAGCAAAGTAAATTATTTAATTAGCAAACTTACAGTTGCAACTTATACTTGCAATTAAATCCAGTCAGAAGTACCCCTTCCCTTCATTTCACAATTATACTCTCTTTATGTGTATAAACATCAAAACCAAATCCTAAAGACATGAATAGAGTTAGGAATAAATATTAAGACATGAGGAGAGGAGAAGAAACAAAGGAAAGAAAAGAAAAAAATCTAAGAAACAAAAGATGAATTGTTCCATAGAGGGGATATTTGGCCAGGGGGATCCAAGCAGCATAAAGGCACACTCAGATTAAATGAAATGTGCAACAATTTGATTGATGTAAGTGACATTCTGGCTGTAACGCAATAAAAATGTGTGGGGGAAAATATATATATGAACAGTTGCACTGTAATAATATGACCGTTTAGTTAGAAAAAATACAGAATACAGATGAGAGAAGACCATATCCTTAATAGGTTCCATTATTCTCCTGGAGGGCAGAACCATTAGTGAAACTCCTAGAAGACTGGGCCTTCTAAGCTAAAGACAAAGCTGTGTTTTTGCATAAGGTTCAGACAGGAAATCACAAAGTGTGTGTAATTTCTGCCCCACAGCATCATCAATCAGCAGCTGATGACATCAGCACACACATGCAAACCTTCAGGAGTGTGTTAACCTAATGAGTGTCCCCCACAGAGTCGTGCTTGTTCCCCGCCCCTGTTCTGGGTGCAGATTTGGTGGAACATGACCTCACTTCTGGCCCTCTGGTAGAGTGGTTTACCCAAACAAGGTTGTGAGCCGATTCCCTGGCAAGCCGTCTCAAAGTCAAAGACAAACAGTCCATATTTGTGCATGAGCTCAGCTCGAACGCTCTCTTTTAGAAGAAAAAAAAAAGTGCAGTCTATGTATATATTTCCAGCTCATTGCAGGGTTGTGGTCGATTTATTCTAAATGACAGAAAAAAACAGTCCCAGTGCTCTCTAAGAAGACTACTTTCAACAGCTTGCTTTGACTTGTATACTGCAGAGTAAAATTAAACCATACAAGGTCTAAAAAGTTTGTTTTTATTTGATTAGCAGTGATTAAATATGTCGCAATGTTTCTATTCTTGCTAACAGCTCTTTCCATCTTTATTCTTTCATAATCTAATTTTAAAAGGTATGTAAGCAGTTTCTGAAGACTTAAATACATTTCCTGATTTCTTCAGTTCATCTTAGCCTGTTGCAGGATTGGGCGTCTTACTATGATGTCATCTTTGCAGGAAGCAGTGATGTAAAATTTAAATAACTGCTTTATCTTCTGCGAAAGCAGTTTCAATAGCACAAGTTCAGAAGTTCTACTTATTCATGACTGTTTTTATGATTGCCTTTTATCCTAATCTAGATACTTTCAGGAGTGAATTTAAAAAGTGCTTTTGGTGTCATTTCGACCTGCTGTTAAATGCCTTGCCCAGGGGAACTTTCTCAAAAGGGAAGCCGGATTGAATCAACGGGTTTTGAATCAGTAGATGATAGATACACACCAAATTTTCCGGTTTTACTGTATTTCTTAGCTCTGTGGCTTTAGAAAGAACTACAGTGAGTTTCAAGAAACCAGTCAGCTTGTAATCTAGTTTATAATACCAGAGAAAGCTCCTACTTTCTCAGAGGATTTTTAAATGTTTATTTTATATCTAAGCACTTTAATTTTCTTCTTCTAGAAGGCAGACACATTTTAGTTGAATGAGTGTTTTAGAAGCTTTTAGAAGCTAGAACCGGCTAACAGACAACAGATTGGCTGCTTGGTTTTCTTTTTATTCCAGTATAAATGGAATAATAATAAAAACCCCATCAAAAACACCCAGTGTCATCATGTACTGTAAGTAATGGCCTCCTTCTGGACGTCCACCAGGCTCAGGATTTGTAACATGGGAGGAACTTTGGATTCCAAACTAAACCCTGGACAGATTTAAAATGCATCTCATAATCTTTCTTCTTCCAGCTGAGGATCGTTATAAAGCAGACGATTGTGCAATGAAGATCTCTTCTTGTGTTTTGTTTTTTTTTTCCTCTTTAGTTCACCTTAATGATTTCATTAACATGCCTAAGCAAAGTATTAGATAACAATTTTAACTAAACACTACTACGTTAGTGACTTGTTCAAATAAGCAAAAGATCAATTAGCCATTTCAGTCAGTGATGAGCAGTTCATTCCTTTCATTAAAATTATTTTTTCAATGATTTATTTAGTTCATCTAACTACATGCTCTGCTCCTCAACATTTAAAATAGCCAAACATCAAGGCTTTAGTGAACTTAAGTATTCTAATCCAACTTTTCAGGTTATCTAACGGCCTTATTTTGAGGTTTTGGCAACAAGACATGAGTCAGCTCAGATGGAATAAGGAAGAAAACGTCTTTGAATATTAAATGTGGATACTAAAAAAAAATTTTTTTTTTAAATAAAGGAAAATTTCCACTAATCCTTTCTGTCTTTATTGTTTATCCTCAGACATTAAAAAACAGGGTATAACAAAACATTTTTATAAATTTTCCTTTCCTATTTTCCTTTTTTCCTTCCCTTTATAAGAATCTTAGTTTTGTAATGTTTTATATGAATATGAGAAGCTTATGTTCAGGATACACATTAAAAACTAGCTCTTGAATATAAAGCAGTGAGAGTTCAAGCATCCCTGTATATGAAGTATCTAATCTTCAAACTAAGTTTTCAGTTTCTTGTTATGTCTGCAGGAAGATATTTTCTTTTCCTCCACACACAATGGATCGCTGAGGGAGTCAAAGCCTTCAAGGCTGAATAATTGCACAGCCTTCCTATTCTGTTCTGCTTTTTTAATGAATGCAGCTAAAGACATTTATTTAATTTGATATTTGCTTAAGATTTTAACCCTGACTTAGTATTTTTTTTTGCAAGGTTTGTATTTTTTCCTTTAATGACTTATACACTATAGACACTAGGTTAGCGAACGTGCAGTTTGCAAATCTACAGCAACTGGGGTAAAATATTCTAAATTATGAACACCAACATTTATACAAACATTATTTACTTTCCTGATTTATTAATATAGCAGAGAGGACAATAAGTCATAAATCAAACTACAAAAACTTAAAAGGCAAGGCAACAAGAACTCACAATAGAATAAAAACTATATTTTTATCTTGGGGTTTTTATCACGAGCCGACAGGAGACGCACAATTTAAAGAGCAAATGACATTTTAAAAGCATGATTAAAGGTTTGTATTAAGGATTTTTAATATTTATTTTGTTTTTGTAGAATTACATGAGTAAAAAACATATAGATATTTGTGAAGGACTATTAAGAACCTCTTAAACATCTGTAAAACTTGTATTCAGGACGTGACATCACATAACGTACTCAGATCTGGCTGACACACCTGACTGAATGGAAAGTTGTTCTTTAACACCACAGCTGAGACTGGACTTTTTTAACACAAATGTGAAAATGTGTTCAAGAGAGAGTCACTTTGCACATGTAAGCATTCATACCTGGTAACCAAAAGGGAGAGGTCAATTAAAGAATGTAAAGCACGACTAAACTCCTTGAAGAAGGAAAGGGAATATGTAGTAAAAAAACAAAAAAACATGAAGAGGAGTAATGAGGCAAAAATCAAAAATGAAATAAAAAGCAAATGATTGGAAACATAAGTCACTGTTTAGGAGAAAACTAAAAGAAATCAGCAGAAGTTTGAAGTTCAAAACCAAACAAGTGCCGCTAAAGAGCAAAAAAAGATTTAATGAAAGCATTAATAGGAATTTGGATTAATTGCTAAAACAATAAATTTATTAAATTCCTACTAATGACGTTGGAAAACCCACCAAAAAGTCCAAAGCACCAATTAAATCTGAAAAAATTCAACTACATGATGCAATTTTTATTATTGTTGTTTATGATAGCTGTGACATGCAGTCACAGACATAAAGTTACCTAAAAAGACAAAGAAATTGTAAATATTTCATATATTCTATAAAATATATACATTTTTATACATTAGATTTGATTTTGTGACTTTTATTAGTATCATAACCACACAATATCTCAACATTGCATCAGCTCAACTATTGCTAACTATTTTCCCACCATTTTCTGAGTTTTTCACCTGAAATATACCTCATGTTTGGCCATTCAAAACTGTTAGAGGCAGAGTATACTACTGGCAATCAGATGGTCAATGAATGAAACTTGATATCCTGTCAAATGTTGCATCCTTGCAGTCCTTTGTGATTGAAAAGGTGAAAACTAACATTTTAGATGCGTCACTCCTTCCATCAGCCCAAAGCAGCCAAGGTTTCAAGATGATTATGCATCTGTTCACTGAGCAAAGCATTATATTTTTGGGAAATAAAATCCACTTACTGCACCAGAAACGGTTCAATAAGTGGATTGTTGTTGTTGAAGTTATGGCAGAAATTAAAAGTTGGCATCTTTATGAGACTGTTGGAATTTGCCCGATAAGAAACGTTATTTATAATATTCCTATAATATAAGATAATATTCCACTTGACCTGAGATCTGCAGGAGGGGTGGTTCACAAAAAACTGTCAAAAAAGCTCATCTACTGTAAAACATTTGCTGTCGTCTCTCAGAGGTTGTACCAGAAAGTCAATCATCTTACTTAAAAAAAAAAATGTTTTCCTTCTTTTATAAATCCTTGGACATTTAATTGACCTGCCTGCTCAGTACTTTTTACCTACTAAACTTAGATAAAAGCTGTTGTCTGTTACTCACCGTTACAGGTGCCATCTGTGGCAGGAGCATACCCCAAGGTGCACAACACACGGTTTGTCAATATGGGGTAACTTGGCTCCACAGGTCTCGCAGGCGCCGGAACAAAGGTGTCTGGGCTCCTATCAGGGAGGCTAGGTCGACTCTGCTCAGGTGGGACGGGTCCCGCAGGTCTAAAAGGCCGTTCGTAAAATTCCCTTGAGAGGCACTGATAACCTCCGATCTGGTTGACGCAGAGCATCTCTCCTTGGCAAGGTTGTGACCAGCTGCATTCGTTGACATCTGGAACGCAGAGAGGAGGTAATGTTGAGGACATTCATGTAGCTAGAACGTCTGTAAGATGGTGGCCAATAGAGTTTAGCAGAAATATTGGCTACCTTTGAATTTTTGATGTTAAACTCAGATGTTTCTTAATCAGGCATAAAAAACGTATATTTTATCACTCTGTAAAATGTATAAATTATCACTCTAAGAAATCCCGTTCAAAGAGATGTAACTCTGGAGGAGCTACAGGCAGAATATCAACAGATGTGTTAAGAGAAAAACATTGTTAAAAGAATTTAGGAGACAGAGAGAGATAAAAAAAAAAAAGAAAAAAAAAAAAGAAAATCCCTGCAAACATTGGATTTCAATAACCTGACAAACCAAACTTCTTTTTCCTCGAGAAGTGTTTTTAGCTCAGATATTTCTCATTTACTGAGAAGCACACACGTCCTAACGTTCTATTACAGCTGTGAAGTGGAGCAGCCTCTTGAGCAGAGGTGGGTAGAGCACCCAAAAACTGTACTTAAGACCAGCATATGTCAGTTTTTTTTTTTTTTACTCAAGTACAAAGTAGACAAAAAGTAGTCAAGTATTCAAAATCCAACTCAAGGAACAAAGCATTAGGTAATCGACATCTTATTTCATGTTTAGAAATAATGCTGACTTTATGTAAAATTTCTGGCATTTTAAAATCTAAATTTCACTTCAAAAATAAATTACTTGATTACAAAGATATATTTTTCAACAGAAAATGTATAATAATCAATTCTTACTGTGATTAATGTGTTTATATTGGAGCGAGGTTTACTCCATATTCAGCTGATTTCTATAAAGCTAAAAAAAAAAAAAAAAAAGTAGCCAGAAAGTTTTACCCAAGTGGGAATAGTGATACTTCACAAGAACATTACTCAAGTAAAACGAGTACGGTACAGTAAAACTACTCCAAAAATGAACTTTCTTTACTTAAAAATATTACTTAAGTTAATGTAACTGAGTGAATCTTTCCAGCTGCTACTCATCTATGGTCACGAGCCAGACATCTGTGGTGTCGTACAGCAGCTGTCAGCAATAGACTGGCAGAAAACAGTTGACAAGATTAGTGGTAAAAATTTTCCTTCCACCGGTGACATCTAAATCAGCCCCCAGAGGAGCAGGGCTGCAGGGATCATATCCGACCCCATCCACCCATCCTACAGACTGCTTGACCAACTTCCTTCTGGAAGAAGACTGTGCAGAATCCAAGCCAAGATGTCTTGGCTCAATTTGGTTTATTTCCTGACTCTGATCCAACTTGGTTCTTTGATGTTAGTTATAGTAAAGCATTTTTTAAACCACATATACCACTAATGTACAGTGATGCTCTGTGGTGGCAGCACCATGCTCTGGGGACCAGTTTGTTCAGCATAGAAATGAAAACAGATAACAACTGATTGGAGGAGAATAAGTGTGCAGGGGGAGCTCCTAAAGACCTCTTATGACTCTTTTGTGGCATCTGCCATCTTCTATGGAGCTGTCTGTTAGTGCAGTGGCTTATCTGTAACTGAGAGAAAGCGGCTGGATAAGCTGATCAGAAAGGCCAGCTCTGTGATTGGATGCCCTCTGGACTCGGTGCAGGAGGTGCGAAACAAAAAGATCCTAACTAAATTAACATCTCTGTTAGGCAATGTTTCCCATCCCATGCATGAAGCTGCTGCAGAACAGGAGAGCTCCTTCAGTGACAGTGATGCCCCCTAAATGCACCAGGGAACGTTGTCACAGATCCTTCCTCCCAGCAGCTGTAAGACTCTATAACCATCACTGTTCCCAACAACCTAAATAAGTTGCAACATTGATGCTGATTTTGCACAGTTTCTACCTTAGTCAGTTAAATAACATGCTGCTGTCATTACGCACATCTCTAATGTTGCTGCTATTTTCAAGTAACCATTACTTTAAAAATGCCCATAGCTGCATATTGGTTATTTTATTTTCCGGGTGCACAATTTTATATTGTTAAAACACTTAAAAGGACAGTATTTTATTGTTTACATTTTAACTCCTTACTAGTGTGTTATTCTTATATACTTTTCTAAGGTCCACATTTCTGTGACAAGTTTTCTATAATCTTTTTGCTGCTGTCAACACCAGAATTTTTCCCATTGTGGGACAATAAAGGCATTTTCTATTCTATTCTATTCTAAACTTAAACTAGGAGAATAAATTCAAACAGCCAAAGCTAAAAATGCAACGGTTAAAATTAAAGCCTGTTTACATTATCTTAGAGTGGTCTAGTCAAAGTAAACCTTAAATCAAACCATAAATCTGCAGTTAAACATTCAAATCTCTATCCACTCTGAGATTAAACTGTTTTGCATAGAATGAACAACACATATCAGACTCTAGATGTGGAAACTTTGTAGATAATCCAAATGATCCACAGCTGCAACTTCAGCAAAGGGTTGGAAATATAAAATAAGTCCTACCTGAGCATTGCTGTAAATTGCTGTCATACTCAAAGCCGCGTGGGCAGCCCTGAGAAGAGATAGTGATGGGAGCTTGAGTGTCTGACAGAATGGGATCCCTACAAAGCAAGGTGTAGTGTTACCTGTCCATCTGCAGACTGGATGCAAAGCAGAGCAAATACCAAAGCAGCGAACAATCTGCAAAGAGGGAACTTTATTGTTGTGAAGTTTTGAGGAGGCCAGCTGCCTGAGGACATGGGAGCTCGACACACGCATAGCCTGTGGATACAGAGAGCAGAGAAACGCATCAGGCCGTTACGCAAAAAACATTTCATCTCGATTAGAAATAAAACGTGACATACTAACCTCGCACGAGAACAAACCCTGAGAGCGCGCATTGTTAGACGGTTCCAGCTCAACTCCCGGTTAGAGGAAACGTTTAGGCGACCCGTGAACCCGAATCCCTGCGGGACTCTCTCCTCTCTCCTCCAACTTTGCGCCCTTACGCAAAAGCCGACACCATGTTTTCATTAACCGCTGGGTGATCGAGCTGAAGCTTCGGCACATTGACCAACTCCTGCGGGAATTCCTTCAGTCGGTAAAAAAAAAATAAAAATATATAAGGAAAACGTCCCGTTTTCTACTCGGATCGCTGTGCAGATTATTTAGCAGTGCAGATGTGGCGGCCCCCTCTGAGAGCTTTCAGCAACAGCTGGATCCAATCAGGAGATCCAGCCCCTCTGGTGGGAGCGCAGAGACACTCACCCAGGCAGCCACTGCGATGCTGTCCGGGAGCCGACAGACAGAAAGCAGCACACACTGTGGATACATATAACACCCCCACCACCGACAAACACAGCCTAAATGCTGACGCCCATCTAATGGAGACTGGAGCAAAGCGAACCAAGTTACCAACCCAAGTTACCAACCCAACCACCGCTTAATATGGGTTGCAGGGTGGCACTGATGGGATCCTTGCAAGATAGTCACAGGTTCTATTCTAGGATCTTTTTGCATGGTCTCCCTGTGCATGCATGGGTTTTCTCTGGGTACTCCAGCATCCTCCCACAGTGCAAAAACATGACTATTTGGTTGATTATGAGCAGGAGAAAGGCACCAGCTCCATCATGACCCTAGCAGATGAGTAGATGATGTTGGAGAAGTCATTTTAGTGAGATTCTGTTTTAGCTCATTGTTCCCGGCTTCATCCGTTTAAACACACAACCGGGCAGAAACACCATTTGTTAAACATAGGGTTAGGGTTATGCACCTGATGCGCCCTTTCCGGGTTTTTTTCCCTGAAAAGAGATCAATAAGGACAAGCTCTTTAAATAACACTTAATAACTTATATATATCAAATAACCAGAAGACATGGCAACAGATTCTGATAGAAATTGGACAGGCATCCCCAAAGTCGGTCCTTGAGGGCCGCTGTCCTGCAGGTTTTAGTGGTTTCCCTGCTTTAGCACAGCTGATTATTATGATTGCAGTGGAGCAAAAGCCTGTTATTCTGCTTTCAGTTAAAATCAGCTGTGCTAGAGCAAGGAAATCTGTAAAACCTGCAGGACAGCAGCCCTCGAGGACCGACTTTGGGGATGCATGGCTTAGAGTATACAGAAGGCAGCTGCTCAGCTCTCAGGAAGTGGCCCCGATTAACAGTTAAAAAGTAATTTTATACATCTCCAGTCTGCCACATCATTAGCAGATGAGGAGACATCCATGGCTCCAGCCCTATCAAAATATTACACTTCATTCTTAGCTGAAGGACACCGCTCTCATTCCATTTACAAATCTTTGCCACGTACAGAATGAAGATTATAACTGTATATCCAGACAGAGGAACTGTCCTAATTAGATTAACTATTGTGGAAAACATCAGTTCTGACACGCAACAGACAGCCAATACCAAGGTAATACCAAGGTGTAATAAACACATCTTCAATGATAATTATCCTAATATTGCATTCAGCATCCTCAGCATGGTATATTCCTGACCCTATTCTGATCTGTATGACCTTCCAAAATAAAAGTTAAAAACAAACCACTGGACCTTTTTTTTTCCAAGTTTAAAGACATTTCACTTCCTATCCAGAAAGCTTTCTCATTTCCAAATATCTGGATTAGCATTGAGGTCCAGGCTTTTAGAGCATCCCAAACAAGGCCTTGTTACGGCTTAGAAAACATGCAAATTAAACCGAAAACAGGTCCACCCCTTTGAAACGGGGAGTCATTAAAGTCAATGTTGGCCTGTTTTTTGGTCCCCTGAGTTTCGATGAGGATTGACATGATAGCAGGAAGGAATCAACTCTATTGCTGCGTTATAGGTTTTCGAGAGCTGAAACCCGATTCTAACCACTCTTCTCAACGTAAATAGCTTCCTTCAGACCCATTTCAAACCACCTGTCTTCTTTGTCCAAAACGTGAACATCTGTATGACCCCTTTTGATAGAGACAACACTATATCTATTCTACGTCAAAAGTGTCCGTAATAATCTGTGGTCAAGTTCAGTATGTATAATATTCTAGCAGCAACAGGTTGAAAACTACTAAATTAGTGCTAGCACTTAATCCATATATATATATATATATATATATATATATATATATATATATATATATATATATATATATATATATATATACCGTATATATATATATATATATATATATATATATACCGTATATATATATATATATACCGTATATATACCGTATATATATATATATATATATACCGTATATATATATATATATATATATATATATATATATATATATATATATATATATATATATATGTACACTAATGTTCAAAAGTTTGGGGTCACCCAAACAATTTTGTGTTTTCCTGAAGTCACACTTATTCACCACCATACGTTGTGAAATGAATAGAAAATAGAGTCAAGACATTGACAAGGTTAGAAATAATGATTTGTATTTGAAATAAGATTTTTTTTTTTTTTTGTTTGTTTTTTAACATCAAACTTTGCTTTCGTCAAAGAATCCTCCATTTGCAGCAATTCCAGCATGGCAGACCTTTGGCATTCTTGCTGTTAATTTGTTGAGGTAATCTGGAGAAATTGCACCCCACGCTTCCAGATGCAGCTCCCACAAGTTGGATTGGTTGGATGGGCACTTCTTGCGTACCATACGGTCAAGCTGCTCCCACAACAGCTCAATGGGGTTCATATCTGGTGACTGCGCTGGCCACTCCATTACCGATAGAACACCAGCTGCCTGCTTCTGCTCTAAATAGTTCTTGCACAATTTGAAGGTGTGTTTAGGGTCATTGTCCTGTTGTAGGATGAAATTGGCTCCAATCAAGCGCTGTCCAAGGGTATGGCATGGCGTTGCAAAATGGGGTGATAGCCTTCCTTATTCAGAATCCCTTTTACCCTGTACAAATCTCCCACCTTACCAGCACCAAAGCAACCCCAGACCATCACATTAGCTCCACCATGCTTAACAGATGGCGTCAGACATTCTTCCAGCATCTTTTAATTTGTTCTGCATCTCACAAAGGTTCTTCTTTGTGATCCAAACACCTCAAACTTGGATTCATCCGTCCACAACATTTTTTTCCAGTCTTCTCTGTCCAATGGCTGTGTTCTTTTGCCCATCTTAACCTTTTTCTTTTATTGGCCAGTCTCAGATATGGCTTTTTCTTTGCCACTCTGCCCTGAAGCCCAGAATCCTGCAGCCGCCTCTTCACTGTAGATGTTGACACTGGTGTTTTGTGGGTACTATTTAATAGAGATGCCAGTTGGGGACCTGTGAGGCGTCTGTTTCTCAAACTAGAGACTCTAATGTACCTATCGTCTTGCTCAGTTGTGCAATGCGGCCTCCCACTTCTTTTTCTACTCTGGTTAGAGCCTGTTTGTGTTGTCCTCTGAAGGGAGTAGTACACACCATTGTAGGAAATCTTCAATTTCTTAGCAATTTCTCGCATGGAATAGCCTTCATTTCTAAGAACAAGAATAGACGGTCGAGTTTCAGATGAAAGTTCTTTTTCTGGCCATTTTGAGCGTTTAATTGACCCCACAAATGTGATGCTCCAGAAACTCAATCTGCTCAAAGGAAGGTCTGTTTTGTAGCTTCTGTAATGAGCTAAACCGTTTTCAGATGTGAGAACATGATTGCACAAGGGTTTTCTAATCATCAATTAGCCTTCTGAGCCAATGAGCAAACACACAGTACCATTATTGCTGGAAATGGGCCTCTATATACCTATATAGATATTGCACCAAAAACCAGACATTTGCAGCTAGAAGTCATTTGCTACATTAGCAATGTATAGTGTATTTCTTTAAAGTTAAGACTAGTTTAAAGTTATCTTCATTGAAAAATACAGTGCTTTTCCTTCAAAAATAAGGACATTTCCATGTGACCCCAAACTTCTGAACGGTAGTGTGTGTGTATATATATATATATATTTATTGATATTCATTATATGTGCACTTCACAAATAAACAGTCAACCTGGTTGTTAATCAGAAGGTTTTAGAAGAAACATTTAAGATTTTACACTTGTTACTTTACATTTGTAAGCTGCAGGTTATATCACACCCACAAAGAGGAAAATCCGGTTGATATTAATTAATTACCTTAAGACAAACTGTGAATCCTTTTTACTATTTGTGTCGGTTCAGAGCTCACATTTAATACATGCTGCAAATGTTTGCAAGAAAGAAATCTTCAATGGATGGGTCACCAACGTGGCGCCTTTATTTAATGTCAAATCCCAATCAGGGCATCATGGGTATCGACTTTAACAGAACGTCTGAGGAAAAGCGAATGCTTAGCTCTGTTTCAACATTTTTTTTTACACCCATCCACAGAAAAAAATAAACATAAAATCAACCAAAAAAAAAAAAAACAGAATTTACCAGTCAGGATTTAGAGTTCTTACATTTCATCAACACACCTGGACTCATCCTGTGTAACATTCCTGCAGTGGCTGATTGATGCCTGTACAAAAATGTGGAGCGGCACAGTCACATGCTGGCCTCCACTGATCAGATTACCCAAAACTTCACTCTTTGTTTTTATTTTATACATTTTGTAAATATATATATATATATATATATATATATATTTATATTACACATTTACATTTCTGATTATACAACTATTCACTTTACAGAAATGCAGGCACTTGACTTCCAACCCTTCTTTTGTGCCTATAACTGGATAAAAATAAAAAAAAGCGAAATATATAATACCAATTTACATATATGTATCTATAATGGTGCAGTATGTGAACATAAAGAGCAGTCTGATAAAACCACAGTCAGCAGCCCTAATTGTGCATGTTGCATATCAAAGTCTGGCTGTCTGGAAAACACAAGACTTTCCAATGGAAAAAAAAAAAAAAAAAAAATCCTTATGGTTTGAACAGATGTACCGACCCACATAAATCTTCATGTAGTGTGCTGCAGCCAGAGCTTTGAGTTGAATCCTGGATCAGAAGAAACTAAACTAATTGTAATGCTGAGGGAACAAGAAAATACAAGCTGTTAAAATGCAAATCGAGGGGCAGGTTTCCTCTTGCATATGGATGCTCAGCCGACACTTTCAACTGCAAAAGTTCATAAGGTCACTTTTGTTTAGAATCTGTTGGATTTACTCTGGATGTTTAACACATTTAAAAGGTTTTCATTTCTTTCTTTCTGTATTGGAAGTCAATTTGCAAGTCCAGAAGTGTAAGTTACACTGAGGAATAAACGGTTTCACTCATGTGTAGAAAGTGTTTTGCATAGAGTGAAATCGAACCTTAAAGAGTCCTGCTTTAGCTTCAAAGTATTTTTTTTTGCTTT